ATGATGATGATGATGATGATGATGCCTAAATGTGAAGTAACATTTTGCCCATTTTATTCATTGTAGAAATCAGCACTGACTGATTCAGCGTGGATAATATGCCTAGAGTATTTTTTAAGCCATTCCTTCATTGCTGTTTCCCTTCTTTCCACTTATACATTATAATCTCTTCAAATCAGAAGCTACCCACCCAGGTGCCTACAGAACAGCCAATCTTCCATACCCAAAATGGTTTTCCTTAATCTAATGCTCAAGGCAATCAGCTTTGGAGGGCATGCTGAGGTAAGAAAGTGCAGTGCAGGACACGAAGACAGCCTGTAGGAGCTTGAGAGTGTGTCACTGATTTAAAAATTGCAGACAGTATAAAAGGATGTTTTTTTAAATTATTTTCTCCTTACTACACTGCAGCAAACTAACACATATATAGCACCAGTTGTTCTTCATCATCAACATACCACCAATCTGAGACTTAGCCACATACATGCAACTTTCCCACAGTCTCCTCTCCACCACTAAATCCCATCCACTTTCCTCAGTGCTCAATCCCTTTTTCATCTTCCGTATCTCATTACAACTTGATTTTCTCAAGCTCACGTCTGTCACACTATCTCAAAAATCACCCCCCGCACCTTTTCCACTGACTTTCTACCCACACGTAAATACACTCTCTACCTCAGATTCCACACTTGTCAGATTCTCTGGACACATAACGATACATTACTATATTTAAACACATTACACAGTCATGGGGGATTGGGGCCACCAGAACTGATCATGCAATGTTTTCTTTAAAAACTTTTAAAGTTTCCCATCCCCTGTTCTGAAGCTCCTAACAGCTTCCCCAGGAAACAGAAACTCTAGGGAGCCTCAGAAGCTAAAACAGTGGGTCAGGAATCTTTAAATTAGTTTTAATTAATTATTTCTGGCACCCTAATCAGGTTTATTATGACGTGGTGGCACTGTGGGCTAAACCGCAGAAGCCTGTGCTGCAGGGTCAGAAGACCAGCAGTTGTAAGATCGAATACACGCGACGGAGTGAGCTCCTGTCGCTTGTCCCAGCTCCCGCCAACCTAGTGGTTCGAAAGCATGCAAATGCAAGTAGATCAATAGGGACCACCTCGGTGGGAAGGTAACAGCGTTCCGTGTCTAAGTCGCACTGGCCATGTGACCACGGAAGATTGTCTTCGGACAAATGCTGGCTCTACGGCTTGGAAACGGGGATGAGCACCGCCCCCTAGAGTCGAACACGTCTGGACAAAAATTGTCAAGGGGAACCTTTATCTAATCAGGTTTATACCATGCGAAGTTATACAATAGAATTATGCCCATTAAAAATCATCATAAAAGGCCTGTATATTTTGTGTGACTGCATTCACAAGAACATTTCAGTCTGAGACTGAAGCAATGCAACATTCACGCAGCAGTAATCATATACAAGGGAGGGCGTAGTAGTCCTCTATCTAAAACCACACAACAGCAGAAAGGAAGACCGTTTCCACTTACTCCACAAGGTCAAAAAGTTTCTTGGGCTCCACAGGTGGCGGGTAGATGACTTCTTCTATGTACCTCCGATTACAGTTTGCATAGGCTGTTGAAAAGTGGATGAAGGCCTCAAGATGCTGCATCCGGTGGGCCAATACCAGGAGCTGCTGGGTGCCCCTGGCATTGAGCAAAAGAGCAAGCCTGGTCAAAAAACACACAGAAAGGTTGTGAAAATAGCCACTCCACACGGACATTTAGAGCCAAATGTCTTTGCTCTACTAAAGATTAACACAGCAACTTCAGATGTTTAACAGAAATTAATGAAGGCCTCAAGATGCTGCATCCGGTGGGCCAATACCAGGAGCTGCTGGGTGCCCCTGGCATTGAGCAAAAGAGCAAGCCTGGTCAAAAAACACACAGAAAGGTTGTGAAAATAGCCACTCCACACGGACATTTAGAGCCAAATGTCTTTGCTCTACTAAACATTAACACAGCAACTTCAGATGTTTAAGAGAAATTTACTGAAAGAAAATCCGGATAACTTGCACTCTCCCCCCCCCCCAATTTTGGATCTTGCCAAATGAAGGCACAAAATACCCCTAAAATGGAAGGACATGCACTTTCCTAGCCACACTTGCCGCACCAAATGTAATGATTTCCAGATAAACTTGATTAGAACTGTGGTATAATAAACACAAAGGAGAAAGCACATAGAACGTACTTCAGTGGCTCATCAAAGCGAACGGTTGCAGCACAATGGAAGACAACGTTGACTTCTGATAGCAGCTCTGCAGCATCCTCGGGAGCAATTGCCAGATTTGGCTGGGTGAGTTCAGCATTGATCGGCTTGATCTTCTCATGGAAGTTGGGCCACTCTTCTCGGACTCTATCAAACAACTTGAAAACACAAACATAATTCCCGGGTAAACAAAAAAGAGGAAACTGGACAAAAAAAGAAGCACCAAGTTCTTCCATTTATAGCTGTAGTGTAACATTTATATCATGCTATAGCATATAGTCACTTAAGCAACAATAGGCCTGTAAACGCCTAGGAGAAAACACTCTAAGCAAGGACAACCATACAAAGCTGCAGTTCAGTATGTCCACTTCTTCCAGTCAATGAATCAGAGATAAGTCCCTTTCAGCTTCAAGAAAGCCGGTGAAATGATTTGAGAGACAGTAAATGTTCCTTGTTCGGACTACAACTCTCACAATCCCACACAGTCATGGGGCATGCTGGTTATGAGATTATGGGAGTTATGATCCAGAAAAGTAACTTTTCCCTATACATCAGTAGCTTCGAACCACTTCTGAACATTCTGGTTCAGAGGACAGGCGTCTGTTTTCCCAACATTATAGACTGTTGAATTCTGAATAATTGGTGCTAGCAATGGGTTAACAAACAAGGCTGTATATGGGGTTCTGGTATCATTCCTTATTCTGTGATGCACCACTCTTTGACTCAATGCAGTTACCATTCTTTGGAAATAGTGGTCAGTCCCTCCACTCCCACAGTTTGGGCAAGGGCTGAGAAGGAATGTGGGTGGTAAAATTACTGCAAATATCTTGTGCACATCCTCATGCTGCAGCCACCAGAACTGATTCTAAAGGACAGGACAGTGTATTGGATATACCACTAGGCCATGGTATTATTAGCAGAAGAAAAATCATTCTGAAAATGGGTCATTTTATCCTTCAAACACCTTGTAAACTATGATTTCATCCCATCAGAGAAAGCAAATTCCCTAAATTAATTATAAGCTGTGTAAAGAAGTACTATCTTTTGTCTGTACTATATTTAATGCCAATTAATTTCACTGAGTGACCCCAATTCCCAGTATTATTTTTAAAAAATTACTTCTGTTCTATGATATGCACCTCTTCCTGATTTGTCCTTTGATTTTTAAATAAAAACTCCTGAAACTTTACTTTTTTCCTTGATCCAACTTTGTGCTTCTTTGGACTTCTTTCCCCGCATCTCTTCTAGATTTAATCAACATTTGATTAAGTCATTTGAGTTTTGAAAAATCCATCTGAACTTCAAATATTCAGCTCTGCAGACAAACAACCCAAACGCTTCATGAAGGAAGCCTCTGTGAAGTTCGCAAATTTGGTATATTCACATAACAGATCATTCTGCATAATTTAGCTTCTTCTTTTTTTGGACTAGTTTGCATACTTTATTTCGTTTTGCTGGTCACTGAGGGAGGGCAACTAGCTGAGCAAATAGATATGCATTGTCCTGAAGCTACAAGCCTTGGAAAGATTATTCAATCACTTCACTGCATTCTGACATTTCAGCAGGCATGACCCACACAGTTTTAAGCTGATTTTTTTACCACAGTAACAGCTAAAACCAGCTTTCTTTCAAAAATAAACACAGAGGAAGCAGAGTTTCATCTGATATTGCAGGCAGAAGCAACCTCAATTTAGGGTTGTGACTGTGAGGAAAATCAGCTTCACCACTCTTATTCAGGCAGCTATGCAAAGGTTTGTTTTATCTTCTGCTGCTTTTTGGTGCTGCTTTCTTCACTTAGGATTTATTTCTAAGCCATCAGGCAGGCAGGCAGGCAGGCAGATACTCAATTGCCTTCTCTCATAAACCAACAAAGCGTACATTTATTATGGCTACTCAAAAAGAATTCGTTGAAGCTTTGCCAACACTGCGTAAGAAACGGCGTGTAATCAAACCTGGTCTTCATGTGTGCTGTCTTTAAAAAGCGGAGATCCTACTTCCGTGCATGACGGGCAGTAAACAAGAAGCTGATTATCCTATGGCAGAGAGAAGAGCAGCACGGAGGGCAAGGCAATGATACCGTTTTAGTGCTGCCTGGGGTCAACTACAGAGGTTATCCCACACAGACGGCCACTTAGGCTCTGCTTTTAAAAGGATACGATTGTAGTGGTGTCCTTTGTAAGCCAATTTCCTTGAACCTCAGCAGCTGCCAGTGTTCAGATGGCTAAGCTGCCGAGCTCTGATTTGGAAATGCACACCATTTCCCCTTTAACCACTGCTAAGGCCCTTCTAAATATCCGTGTGTCAAGCAGATATTAAAAGCTCTGATGCTAGTAAAACCTTTTGTGGTATTTTAAACTGTCTGAAATTTCCTCTGGGCCTAGATGAACTAATTAGGAGCTTGTTATAGGCTGAATATTCTTCAAGTACTTCCTAGATTCAGGGGATCCTGCTGTTTTTCCTGATGGAGAAAAGCACTGAGGTACAATCATGTAATCACATTCATGGTTGCAGCAATTCCTGCAAGTGTCAGATGCAGGGACAGGCTTGAAAGACTGTCAGCATTAGACTGTGGGTAACTAATGTGGGTAACATTAGACTGTGGGTAAGTATTTACTGCCGGTAAATAGAGCAAAATAAGAGAAAGGGAAAAAACAGAGACCTGTTCAAAAAAATTGGAGATGAGGAACATTTTGTGCAAAGATGGACATGACAAAGGACAAAAATGATAGGAACCTCACAGAAACAGAAGACATCAATAAGAAGTGGCAAGAATTATACCAGAAAGATCTGGACGTCCTGGACTACCCAAACAGTGTGGTTGCTGACCTTGAGCCAGACATCCTGGAGAGTGAAGTCAAGTGGGCCTTAGAAAGCATGGCTAACAACAAGGCCAGTGGAGGTGATG